TTAGGTGCAATAGTACTATTGCCTTTACAAGCCAAAAGGTTATTCATACATAATACGCAAAAAGATATTTTTTTTTTGGAAGTAGGAAAATACGCAATTTGTTTATTCTCTATGAGATATGAAATATGTAAACAATTAAGTGCTGGTAGAATCTACTTAGTAGGATTCCTAGAAAGTTGATTAAATAGATTCTTCCTCCCTTCTTTTTTGGCACAAAAAAAAAAGAAAGTAAAATTCAATGGAAGTCTTACTTTGGTCTTGTGCAAGAGTCATTCGATCATTGTAGAACTATATGTTTTACATTTTAGAGAGCTTACAAATCATCTTGATAATCTTCTGCATCGATTTACAAAAGTCAACCAAAAATTCATTGAAAACAAAAGAACTAGTATAGAGTTTTTATCACCACCGACCCAGATGGGTGTCTACGCACCCGCCGGCAAACTTTGTGAGAAAAATCTAATTTTTTTTAATCTCTTGACCTATGCCTTAAAGTTCTCTTCGTGAATGTCTAGGAGCAGTTGGTTAGATTTTATTTATTTATTTTTCAGTGGAACTCCTAATGGTTATTGTTCGTGAAAGTTTACTAAATAAATGCTACAACTTCCAAATCATGTTATTGCTTAAAAACACACAAAAAAAAGTAAAGATATTGTCTAAGCTTTCCCTTGATGGTTTTTTTTTTTAAATTAAAAAAAACCATGATTAATTGCTTAAGACATTGAGCTTTCAACGCTTTCCACCAAAAATTCTTAATATGGAGCCGAAATCTTGGCCCGCTTAAACCAGACATGGTTAACATGTAGTGCAGGTCCGGCGGACATATTCCTTTCGTTAAAAAAGCATCGGCGCATGCGAATATTGGGCCAAAGCCCGCATGGCAAATATCTGGACTAATCAACCAATCCAAGGTTACGATTTTCTAATCCACACTGACAAAAGGTAAGTACCACAAATCCACAATATATAATATCAGGATGCAAAACGAATTTCCACCATATGTTGAAAATAATATGCTCCAATGACTGGAGAGTTGGCCGAACAAATTCAAGACAAATGGTTTCTCAGCAAGATTTTTGAAGAAGTCCAATTTGTCTTGTTGGCCAATTTACCCACCTCCCCTCACACTTAAATGTGATCATCAAGAGATTTTTCCTGGACTTTGGCTTTAAAACAAGGAAGAAAGCTGAAGAATAGTGCCCTAGAAAATTTGTGTATGTGTCGAAACAAGAAACAAATAGAAAAAAAAAACAATAATCTTGGCAGTTATGTAAAACAATAATCCAAAGGGAAGTTTATGTAAAACAATAATCTTGACAGAAAAAAAAAAAATCCAAAGGGAGTTGAGGAGTTCCACTTGCGTCTCTGTAAATGCAGTTCAAGAAATCTAAGACAAGGAGACCAAAGGAACCAAATCGTGTGCTCCTGATAAGGCACTCTTTTGCTCTCTCTTCCATGTAAAAGCAAGAAAGAACTTTTGGAATAAAGAGAAGCAGTAGATATAAAAGCATAAAAAAGCATTCTCACCACCGATGCAACCCCTTTAATGGTTTGATAAAATATTATTGTATCAAGAAGATAATCATGGCTCAAAAGCATTTCTTTGACTGATGTAACCAAAACAAAAAAATTTTATTTTTGTTTTCTTTGACAGATGTAAGCTATTTTGTTGCTTCGTGACCAAATAGGATATCATGACACCCCATGATTGGGATTTTGTTGACAAGTTCGCACTTTGTTTTTGGGTACCTGCCAAACTTTTTTAGGCCTAATTTAAAGTTTTTCGAAGGTTTAATCAGCTGTAGTTTATGAATTTTTCCACTGATAGGATCACTAGTTTTACATAGAGTTCTTTATTTTGTCTGATAGTAATCAGATATGCCTAGAGGATTATGTAAGCAAAATCATACTTTCCAGCAAAGTATATATTGAACGTCATTTTGATGCATTTACCTCTTTTTTGTGTTCAATTCCTTATTGCTTTATGTTAACTGCAGTATGGCGTTTTCTGTTTGTGTTTGGTTACTCTCCAAACACCGATTGTGGAAAATTAGATTTACCATGTTTTCGTGATATCATTATTTATATATTTGATGAAACAATTAGTTTATAAAAATGTTTTAAAAAATTTTCTTTGGTGAAGCTTATTTTTGATATTGGTTAACAGGAGAAGAGTACACAAATTTTGGGTTGGGGGGCAGGGGGGAATAACGAGTACAATCACATCAAAATATAAGACAAGAAATCAGTAATGATCAGATAGATAAAAGCTATACTAGCCCACATTGAAACAGTCAAATCTCCTTCCAGTTTTTTTTGTTATACATCAATGGAGATAAATCAATTCATACTGTAATAGGCAAACTCACGAAAAAAATTTGTGTATTTTCTACGACATGTCTTTTCTTTTACTTTTTTTTTTTTTTTGAAAAAAAAAATTCTTCTTGCTTACTAGCTTGTCGTTTTAGTTTGCTCATAGCTCACGCCTACATTTATTTTTCTAAAATACTATTGTAATTAGATTAAAAAAAATTTGTTTTTGGGGTATTTTGTCATATCACTAAAAACAATATAATTTTTACGACCAAATGACTTGATTTGGTTGAATTTAGTTCTTGAACCAGATCAGATGTAAATCTTTGACGTCATGGTAGCTAATAGGCTGGCTCAAAATTGTTACTAATTGATGCGAAATGAATAACCAACTGATTATAACGCTTCTCTTTCCTAAGGGAAAAAAAAAAAACAATTATCTTGATGAATCTAAACAAGAATAGCCATCGTGTATAATGAATTTTATGATGCCCTTAGGGCCCTTTTAAAACGAACTAGTGGGTGAAACACACTCTATGTGTGTGCATATTTTAGGGTAAAAATAAAATAACAATTTAGTTGTAGAATTAATTTTGTATGCACTGTCAATCTATATACTATTATCGTTAGATATATGACACACGTGTTAAATTTGAATTTAAAATTTAAATTTTACTCATGTATCATTAATCCAACCGTGATAGTATATACACTATCACCGTTTGATTCATGACATGTGTGCAAAAGTTGAATTTCAAATTTAAATTTTGCATAGTTATCATTCATCCAACGCTGACTGACAGTATATACACTATTAATGTAGAAAAGATTAATCCATAAATTAATTATAGAGTAGTAGTAGAATTTTCTAACTCTTTATTGAAGTTGGTGAGAAGACTTGGGATAAATATAGCAATAGCGGAGTAGTGTAGCAGCAGTTATGTAGACGTGGTTAATAGTAGATAAGTATTATAGCAATAGGCATGTAAACGTTGAAGAAGTAGGGAGGGCGTGAGAGTATGGGCGGGATATGAGATGATTATATATTTTTACTCAATCATGCAAGAGTAAAATCGAAATAACAAATAATGACAGATTTTTTTTTTTTAAACACCAAATTAAACTCGTTCAGCAAAGTGCAGAGAAATTGTAAATAAGAGCCGTAAATTGGTCCCAGAAAGATATGTCGATCTCCCAACATCAGCTGATCAGAAAGAAAGAAAGAAAGAAAGAGAGATGAAATGACCCAGTCCTTACCTGTCCTTCCGTATATGCGTACCATAATAATAATGATAGCGAGCTGGTGATTAATTGAAGCCTAAGGGTAAGGAATCACGAATTACATAAAAAATATATTCAAGACGTAATACTTGTACGACCGTCAATTAATCGTCATACACTAATGTTCAAGTTGACCCAAATTGCAATTTTATACTCTCCTTTGTTATGTGCACCCGGGATTCCGGAAATGGGCTCATTATCACATAATTCTACTTCTGTGTTTATTTTAGTAACATTTCAGGGGCTGTAATTTTGAACTAAGTAGATATCCTCCTCTCTAAGTCGTTATCTTACTATGGTTTTAAGATTTTAAAAATTTTATGAAAGTGTCTCAGATCAAAGATGGAAATCTTAGAGACAAGGAGATTGAATTACGAGAAAATTAATGATTTTTTTTTTTTTTTGAAAAAAAAGAAGAGACTCTAAGCTTTAACAAAGAACTCACTGAATTGTTGTTATTCATACTCCTGCTACTCTAATTCCTTTGCAGATTAGAGGATTACTGCGTCTAATTTCTCTTAATTTTCCCACAATTAGATCATTCATTGTGAAAGATTACTACTCTTGGTGGTTTATTTATTTTCGTACATTGTACTTAGGAGATAAGGTTTATGTTCCCATCCTTAATACTTGTTTTGATTATTAATAAAATTCGAACTGGCATCCCATTTCTGTGTACAGAGTTTTGCCAAAAAAATACTTACAATTTTGCTGAGTTTACAAGCCAGGTGATTGGAACTTACACGACATAGTTTGATATATATGCACCAATCAATACATCATAGTCGTAGGTAAATCATGCAATATTCCCCAATTGTGTTTGTGTGTAGGAAATGGAATATGAAGATGAGTGAGAAAGTCACACGTATACAAAGTTTCCGGTTACAGGCATACAGTCCACAAAGTTATTATAATTAAGACCTTTAGACGGGCTGCAAAAGCTGGTTTCTACTTTAACAATTTTTTTTTTTTTTTTTTGGATAAATTAAAGATAAGTTCTTCACTTTCGCTGGTAAAATGTTTCAAATTAACCGAAAGTACGACAGATGAATTAAAGGAAGAATTGCACGGATCCCAGAGTCCTTGACCACCCCATCATCAGTAGGTGAAAATAGGTATCAGAAGGATTAAAGCAAAAAGGGAAAGCGAAATTACTGAAAATGTGAACTTCTAACCATATATATCATGGATTTAACTTCATCGATCTACTACTCATTGATGGCTATTGTCTCTCCAGCCAAAAGGCAACCCATTATACATATATATCGTCATATCCTTGCCCCATAGTAATTTTTTTTTTTTTTGAGGAGTGAAAAAAAAAAAAGAAACAAAAGGAAACAGGCAAAAAAAAAAAAAAAGGAAGAAGAAAGAGTTACAGATTCCTGCTTCAATGAGATAAATTCAGTTCATGATATGCTTCTATCCATCATCTCTTGGAATCTCCTATAGGACTCTTGTTTCTCCAACCTGAACTTCTCATGGCTATTAGCAATGAACATATCAGCCAGCATGTCAATTTCATTGCCCTGATCATGATTGTTACGATCCTTTCTCTCCTCAAGCCATTTGAGATATCCTGCAAGCTGCGAAGACGAATCTGGAGCACCTCCAATGAGTTCTTCGCAAGAATCTGTTGATGGGATTTCGCAAGTGTTCCACGAGGAATCATAGTACCAATCTTTGGATGAGTAGTAGCCTTCGAGCTTAGGCATGGGGGCAGGCATGACATGAGAAGAACACCAGTTATAATGCATCCTAAATGAGCCCAGAAACAGCTTGTTCTTGAGATTCTTGCTGTTCTTTTTCACGGACAGTTGAATGAACTGAAGCAGCTGAATATCTTTAAGAACTTGAATGACAATGGATTTTGCTTTGGTGAGGGCACGAACAATGCGGTACAAGTGTGAGAAGATGAAGGATTGGAGTATGGTTTTGAGCTTGGAGGAAGTCAGTTGAGCAGAAGATGAAGCTGATTTTAGGGAGGAACTGGTCTGAAGAGGAAGGTGGAGAGTTTTTGGATGAGAGGAGGGACCAGCCATTTCTTCTCTTTTGTTTCTTTTCTGTGGGGGATGAAATGAAATGAAATGGATTGAAGTGCTGTGCTATTCTCCAAACAGTCTTGATCAGTTTATAAAGGACCTCGATGACCAAATGAGCACTGCATAGAAGTTAGTAGGTAATTCAAATAAAGTAGTGCCAACCACTTTTTAGACCATGAAGTACTAAGAATGGCTTTTCTTTTCCATATCCATTTGTCACCGGTTTATACTTGGACAAGGACAGCGGTCACTAATTAGGCATCAAAAACTTTTACAGCTATTTAGCTTGTAATTTTCAATTAAAAATGCAAAACAAAAAAAAATTGTAAGTGCTGTGGAATTCATATGCCAATGCATGAATGACATACAGGAAAAACAAGTTAACTTCTCAGTACATATATATGATAGATACACATTCAAGAACTTGTAAGAAAGCCTTCACCTTGGTCTTTTTATGTTGTGTATTAGAATTCAGTCACTTATTAACACAACAAACAAACAAACAAAAAGATATCACTCCATTGTAATTTTGGAAGTACTATCTTGAGGTCAAATAAAATGGAGTACAAAAATATTAGAATTCTCATCCTTGTTCATTGAAATTTCAGTCAAACCTTAAACAGGATAACCATTTCTAGCCTGCCCCACTCTTGACATCGTGTGTGTCTAGCCTTTCATTTTTTTTCATTTCTGTGAATAATCAACAAGCAAATTTTCGTTGTGCAAAGTGGAAAACCGCATAAAACAGACAAGTGTTTCGCAAAGTAATGCACTCTATTACTATTGAGAAAAATAAGAGCTTCTCAAAGAAAATAATTCGAGACGAAATCTGGATACTCTCCAGAGTAAGCTCTTTTTTTTTTTTCAATAAGTGAAAGGTTTTGAATTAAGAATTTCCTATTCACAATCTTTCTCTCCTTACCGTCCAATCCAATCTTCGTCTTCCAAAATAAACTGACATTGACTCAATTTACATAATAACAAGCATCCCATTTCTAAAAGCTTAATTTTTTTTTTGTATTGTATACTTGATAAACTTTTAATCCGTGATATGTTTCATTCATCCAATATGTACCAAAATTTGTTTTGGTACAGTATACAAATGTCCCCGCCTCAGTTATTTTGAACTTTTGTGTTGGAGTGGAGAGAAATACGAAAAGATATATTAAAACAAAATCGAAAGATAAAAGAAAGCCATTTAGACAAACCATGGTCCAGAGCAGGTCTAGACAACCAAAGACAAGCGGTCTTAGGCAGTGGAAAAAGCAAATGACCACTGTACCTGTTTGTCGCCCAAGTCTTGCGGGCTTTCAGTTCAGTGAAAATCTAACCTGAAAAAAATAAAGAAAATCCAGCAACTCGAAGAGCTAAACAAGGCTGATTCTTCGCCGATATTGCAAGACCAATGACTATTAAATTAGGGCACCATTCACTGCTGAACGCAAATGTTATAACCAGCAGACACAGCTAAAATCAAGGATTGAAGTCTTTGCCCGAGAAAAACAACAATGGGAAAGTACCAAAAATAATGACTCTCTATTCTCCAACACCAGACCTAATTTCCTCTCCTTCTCTTCTTCCTAGTAGCTAAGATGAATGTGTGTCATATTCTTTCTTTTTTTTTCCTTCTTGTTTTCCCCTAAAAAATATCCCTTTTAGAAGGGAGAGATGTTGAAAGGGTGGGGGCAACGATGAGATCAATCGAATCTCCATGCTATTCAAAAAGAAAAAAAAATTAAGTATTTCCTCAAGAAATCTACTATTAAAGTACATATGGCTTGGTAATATTGCCAACTCTTATTTATGGTGTTCGTATCTGTACGAGATTGGAGGTTCAGTATGCTATTTCATTTTCTCATGTTGTAATTGAAAAAAAAAAAAAAAAAACCATGCTAGTGCTTGTGGATATATATATATATATATATATATATATAATTATATCTATTAGACCCTCCATGCTTGCTTGGAAAAGTTAACTATCAAAGCACCTAAATGAAATCTAGTTCAATCTTACCAAACTTTAGCTTTTATCTAAGTTTTTTGTGCTGTCAACCTAAACCAGCTAATTCACATACTGTTAGTTCAATTTTCTCTACTTAATCAAAAATAGAAAAGGAAAAACACTAGAATGAAGGTTTCAACAAAGAGAGAAATAAAGGAAATATTAACTGGCATATCCTCTTTCCAATTTTTTTATGAACACGTCAGATATATATATATATATATATATGTGTGTGTGTGTATGTGTGTGTGTGTGTGTTCTCTCTCCTCTCTCTCCAGATTCTCTTTCAAGATAATCAACCAATATCACCTAATCCACATTAATCTCCTATTACAGCGGCTTAAGTAGGCTACCACTTTTGGTCCCCTATATGATGTGATAATCATTAGTTTAATTCTGATTAGAGGTGCAATCAAAAGTAAATATGGAGAATAATAACTTTCAGAGGTAGATACAAGGGTGTCCCACAAAATTGTACAACACATTGAAGATTCCCACAAGTTTACAACTTTTTTCCCTTAAGTCGAAAAGCTGTGTCGATAATTTCATTCATTGTCAATGAAAGCTTTATGCATGGTTTCCAATTTAATTAATTATCTTAACTAATTAATTGATGGAATCTGGAATAATAAGACGCCTATGCTGAAATTGGACCCAAAAAAAAATACTTTGAAAAATGCTGATGTTCAATTTGCAAATAGACACGATTTGGATCGTTCTGTTGGAAACTTCGATCAAAACATTTAACTATTTTGTGCATTACAACTAGATAAACATAATACTTTCTAGATGCAAGTTTGAGTAGACTGTGAAGTGTAATAACGGATTCTTTATTTATTAGTACCAATTAACTTTCTCCAAAAAAAAAAAAAAAAAGCCGCATAACTTAATCCAAGCTGACACAGGTTTAAATTTAAGATTTCAAGAACTTGCAAGTCTAGCATCAAGATTCTCCCTCGTGATGGAAGATTAGCCTTGTTTTTCTTTTCTATTCTTTTCTACTTCTTATTCTCCCCAACTCATGTTGATGCCACTCACTTTCTAGTTTCTACCCTACCCCTTTTTAGATTTGCAATATCATAACCTTATCATGACCCTAAAGGTAAATAAAGAAAGATTTTGTAAAAGAGAAGCTTGTAGCTTAAGCCTAGTTTCGGAGGTATTTAATTTCAAAATTCCAGGAGGGAGGAAATTGAAGCAGGTCAAAAGAAATTGTGCAAAACCATGGATGTGACGATTTTTTTCCCTAACAAAACCATGGATTAATTGGTTCTTTTTTTTTTTTGGTATAATATGTAGGTTCTTTTCATTTAAATCAATGCCTTGAATAATTTTTGAAACGTCACAGTTTTTATAGTATGGGGCTTTAATTTGACAATTTACCATCCTTTCATAATTCCAAAAAAAAAATTAATGATTGTGCCTTGATTATTTAACTGCAAAGCACACTACATTATATGTTTCAGTTACAAACCTTTGTATACTATTACTATGTAAGTACTTAACAATTTTCATGTCACAGAAAAATGCATTATGTATGGACATTTAACTTAGACTTCCATATCAAATATGCAGCTTAATTATGGCATTAAGGGTCCTTAAACAACTGAGGCTACTTCACTCAAATAACAATATATATACACAAAGAGGATTAATGAAATCTTATATATTTTAGAATTAGTAGCATTGTGTCTCAATCGACTTCGATTACTTGTAATTAATTAAGGATTAATCTTCTATATATTGACAGTGTATATAATTTTATCATTAAATGCATGACATATAATCCAAATTTGAATTTGAAACTCAAACTTTGTATATGTATCGTATATCAACTTGTGATAGTGTATATACTATCAGCGTATATAAAATTTACTCGTTAATTAATTTAATCTTGAACTAAGAACTAATAAACTATGTGGTGTAAGATTTTCGAGTTTTCTCTCCACCAAGCGATCAATAACAGATGGAAAAGAACATGTCGCTCAGGTCTTGAATTACTGAGAAAAAAGCATAGCATTCTGGCCTTGGAACTAGAGGTGTACAGAAAAGGAAATAAAGCCGAAAGACTGAAAAACAGTTGGTGAAACATGAAGCCAACTTTAATCTGTACTAACAAAATCAAAGTTCCATTCAATCAAATTGGAAGATTTTGGAACACATCAGAACTGTTTTCTTTATCATATTCCCTGGAATCATATGTCAAAATCATATAGTGCAAAAAGTTCGACCATTTCTCCTTTCCGGATTCCAAAATTTGAATTCCTCTTTCCTTCCTTTAGTTTCCTCTCTTTTTCTTGTTTGTCCAATGTTTAAATTTTCCAAGGACGTCATTTAACCATTCGTTGATGTCGTCAAAAACTTTAATCTTCTCTTTCTTTCATCCATTATATAATTTAGATTACACCTAAATGAGACCATAGAATTTATTGAAATGCAACGTATAGATTGAAATATTAAACTTGTCAACATATATATATATATATATAGAGAGAGAGAGAGAGAGAGAGAGAGAGAGAGAGAGAGAGAGGTGTATATATCCTTCTTATTTGACTGATTGGTCTTCCTTTGAATTCAGCTCATGTCTACGCCTGTTCTAGGAAGAGTTTACACTAAAAACCAAAACACTTATACAGTTTTTTTTTACTTTTGTATACAGTTTTACTTAGGAATAGACATGTCAATGAGTCGAATTTTACCCAGACCCAATATATTTGGGAAGAGTTTGGATTTAATTTCTCAAATTCAGACCTTACCCAGACCCTATGAGAGAGTCATGGGTCTGGGTAGGGTCTGATTTTCTAGAATCCATATCCAAATCCAGATCCATACCAGACTTTATCCAAATCCATATATATTTAATTAAATATAATATATATAGGTAAATTTATAAAAGAATATAATATTTTATGGCTAGTGGATCGAATACATTAAGATTTTATGGCATCAGAATCTACATTTAGTATTGGTGGTTGGGTGATTGATGAGACTCGTGGTT